GGTCATGGCCGCAGGCCGCGGCCCTCTCCGGAGGGAAACACTGCTCGGCCGGGTGGGTCTTCCTGAGGGAACCGGGCCGTTTCCCCGCTCTGAACAGGACACCGCGGCAACAGAAAACGGGAAACAGGATTTGTACATCAGCCTCTGCTTTCCGTGCTCAGAGGATTCCTAGAGAAAAAAACCTGCCACCCTCTGCCACCCCTGTCTGGTAGCTGGAGAAGCACCCATCACCACGTGGTTGCTTTTAAATCATCCTTTCTGACATTAACACCCCCGTCTGCAGTTCGTACAGCTTTCCACAGAAACAACGAAAGCTGCACTTGTCTGATGTATTAACAACTCAAGGGAAACCTTCCGTTCCTCACAAGTTACTCTGAAGTTATTTTAACTCTGAAAGACTACCAGTAATCAGCATTTAAAAAAAAAAAAACAACAACAAAACAAATCTGATTTCAGTCGTACAGAAGAAAACTCCTGACGCTGCTTGCCACCAAGCAGCATCAACTCCAGAGCAGAGGGGGCTCAGGGGGTGTTAAGGTCAGCAGGCATATTACCCTTGGTGCGAACTACAGGGCAAAACTACAGACCTCGGGAGGTCTAATCCATCGCCAGAGAACAGCACAGCCCCTCCAATCCCTGGCTTCCCCTAGGAAAAGGTAACTTCACAGGCTGCATGCATCCCTCTCTAGCTGCAGGTAGAAACAGTGCTCCAACAGCAACAAAGTATCACCAATATACTGGTACTGGACAGACACTAGCTCAGAAAAGAGTCGGAAAGAAAAATCTGAAGTGCTTAAGGCAATTCTTCATATCCCCATTTACTAAAAAACAACTGGACCAGCTATTAGCAGCAAAAATTTGACATCTGTGCAAACTATCATATTACAAATTCATCCTTTAAGGGTAAAAAGTCACATGTTAAGTTCAGCTGGGACATCAGTCAAACTAGAACTTGCAAGTCGCAAGTCACAGTATGAAATACTTCAAGCATTCTTCTAAGTGTTAAAAGAAAAATTACATTTTTACATTGTGCATCTCAAATTTACTTTGTAGGCTACACTAGATCTTGCCAAAAAAAGGTCATTTTTTAAATGCTCCCACGTACGTTGGAAATTAGTCATGGTTCTTTCTCACTACACATTAGCTTACCGTAAACATTCCCTTTCTTTCCAAAAAGGGCAATTTCAATAGCAACTGTAGCTGAACACCCAAGATCAAGCCGTTAACTAGGCCTCATGAACAGGTACTAGCCTGGTTCGACGTCTGTTTACCACAGTCACTCAACAGAACAAGTCTCAAACCAAGAAGCATCTGTCTTAACTCTCCTCTCTCTAACCACCACCAGGCTCCAAGCATGCAAGTCTCACTCCCTCACATACCACTGAATTCGTAGCAGCTGAACCCCTAGAACTCCCAGGCAGGTATTCACTGCAGTTGAAGGGAAAAACAAGGAAGAAATACTTAAGATTACACAGATTACTTCGATAATAACAACATCTGTAGATAATGCGTGAAAGAGATTCAGACACCTTTCATTTACGAACCACATCACCTTCCAAGGTCTTTGTTTCCAAGACACAAAACACTAAACTGGCAGAGGAAGGTACAGTTAAACTGAGAATTGTTTTACACTTCCCTCTGCAGAATAGATTACAGCTAACTTCGTTCACAATGCAAGTATTTAGAGATGCTCAAGTTCCAGGTATGAAATGAACATTTTAAGGGCTCAACCATTCTGTCAACTTCATGATTTCTCAAGAGAAAAAAAAAATTTCTAGAGCAGGTATTAAGAAGAAAATCTAAGTTTTCCACTGAACATTACATTCAGTTTATGAAGAGTTGTGTCATGGTATTTTTCCTCCTCTTGATAAATCTTGATGGACACAAAGGACGCATTGACACAAGATTTAACATGATTACATGGTTCTGTTTTTAGGGACTAAAAGCTATACAACAGAAGAAAAAATACTTTGGCCCTGTAGGAAAGATGCCAATTCATTCTGGACCCTAGCAGCATGAAGTTGAACCAGTTTTCACACAGTATCAAGAAAAAAAAAAAAACTTCAGTTAGGAAACAGTCAATTCAAATGCATATCTGAAAATTATTTCTAGGCTCCTGGACTTTAATTAGAGGGAAGGAAGCAGATTTAAACAGTATATAACACATAGGTAATTCTCACTGAAAAGTTAACATTTTCCACGAAGAATATAACACGAATTTTTTTTTTTAGCTCTCCCACTATTATGAATCTTTCAACTACCATTACTAAGCTTCCAATGAGGACCTGAGATAACGGAATACCCGGGCTCAAAATTTCACTTTATTTGTCAACGAAAACAGCAAATCGAAGCAGATCGTATGTTACCTGACAAAGCATTTGCTTACTTTCCAGTTTTTTCTTGCCCCTAAAAAAGGGGAAGGCATTCAGCTGGAGGCTCTGAAGAGATCCTTTGGAATATGATCCTCTGAAAGTCAAGTCTCATAGCCACACACAGAGGTCACATGGTACAAGCCAGCCAGTGAAGAGCAGGAAATATATATAAAAAAATACATAAGGCTACATTTCTGCTGAATAAAGAAGTCATGCAATTTCTGGACTTTGCTAGTTGTCCAGAAAGTTCCAGTAATTGTCCTTAGGCTAGTCAAAACAGGTAGCAAAAATGCACGTCAGGGCTCAGAGGGTACTGCTCTACCACCAGGAGTTCAGTGCCGCTTCTACTCAAAGCCAGCTTTGACATTGACACAGCTGTTTGAGAAGTCTTAGCCAGCCCTGAAGGTGGCTTGAGAAAAAGCTGAAACATGTTTCAACAATAGCCACCCCCGCCCCCAACCTCCTCCGGGGAGATGCATCTAAACTGAAGCTCTCACACCCTTGTCCCCAGCCTCAGCTGCACTGCAGCTTTGCTACCGGCAGACAAAAATTCAGTCTGTCATTCATATCTGATGAACAATGAGAACTGCTGATTATCAGAATCTAATTAGAAAAATGCCACAAAACTGGAAAGCCAAGCAAAAACTAAGAGCTTCTGAGAGAGCAGTACCATGTCATTTCCAAAAAGCTCTGGATTTTTGGTTTTGGACCTTTTACCTAAAATGGTTCCTAGCTCAATGGCTGGCTATCGTACTGCATCTTCATTGAGGACATACGAGTGTTTTTAAATACCTTCTAATTTTCATATTTTCTGTAATTTGTGATAAATGGGAGCCAAACTCTAAATATGTGATATTTAAATGAGTTACTCATGGGAAATAGGAGGATTTTCTATCAGAAAAAAGTTACTTCACCACAGAAAAAGTGGTCTTAATGTTTCTTCACATCAGGCCTACAACTTCTCATAATATTTTTTTGAAATCATACTGCTGTGATATTTTGCCAGGTTATACTAGTAAATCAGTATTCTTTTGAAACGGATGTTTGATATCACAGGTTCTAATGGGAAGCCCAGTAATAATAAAATATAGTCAAGTAATTCATGTTAGTAGAGCTAAGAAAATGGTATTTGTTATATTCTTCATAGAAAAATAATATTCATAACAATTAATATTCAAGTCCATAATAAAATGCTTAAATACAGTAATAGAAAAGTACATAGTTACAGGTCTTGATTTCTCCATTTATTTTTCAAATATGCAACAGTTGAGTTTTCTGTCTGACATTTCTGTCTGGATTCACAGTAGGTTCTAACACTTTAGCCCTAAACTTTTGCACTATTAGTACCCAGGCCTTAAACAGCAGTAGGTAGCAAACCCAGTTTAATCCAATGCTCACAAGCTTCTGTGAGTAGCAGCTACACAGAAAAAAAACACCCATCCAGCAATCGAAGTGTTTAATAGACATTACTAGGCAATGTTGTTTAGGCTGCTAGTTGAATCACTCAACCCATTTTCACTTCTCTGGAGTGTTTTCACAGCAGTTGGCACCTGCAATCCGGTACTCACTGTAAGCCCACCACACCAGATCTAACAGCAGGGAAAAAGAAAAAAAAAAAAATCAGTATTAGGAAGCATCTGCATATCTGTTCTTCCATCCCACAACGGAACTAAGACAAAACTTATCCTGCAGCTGCATTTGTCTTCTCTCTTGCTGTCTAGTCACATCACTTTGTAAAATGTTCTAATCACACAGAAGCTAATATTTAAGGCTGTAAAGTCTAAGATAGTAGTTTCACATACTATGCTTTATGACTCCAACTTTATAACCAAGTCTAAGATCTAATACTAAAAGACCTGCTCCTAATAGGAAAACTTTTGGAAAACCAGTGGGCTAGCAGCCGGTACTTAGAATGACAATGAAAAGCAATACTCTCACTACGCTCCAGTGTCTGAAAACAATACTTAGTTTTAGTATGACACAGCAGAATGATGTCAACGTAAACACAGTACAAAAAATAAAGTTTTGAGAAGCTTCAGAGGCACAGGTGCTAGTGACCTCTATTCTACAACTGAGTTACATTCTTTCATGTATCTCCATGTTTACGCATAAATTTGAGAGCTGTAATTAAGTAGCTTGTCATTTTTAACTGTTCAGGCTAACCCAAGTAGTGTCTGCAAAACTGCTAGCACGAAGTATTAGGGGCTGTCACAAGTATTAGGGGCTGTATGAGATGCAGTGTGGTAAGCAAATGTCTCCTTGGATACCCTAAGAACTGACTTAATGAGTCAACCCTAGCAATGCTAGAGGGACAACTAACACACATACCCCAGCAGTTCTGAAGCTATTCTGTTACACATATGTTGAAAAGGAGCCGTAAGGCAACTTGCTTAGTCACCTTGTAACAGGACAAGTTCTTCCCTCCGAAAGAAGGGGTATAGTTTAAGTAATGTCCCTTTGATCAAGTAGTGCATGACCAGAATTATGTTAACGTTTACCCTAAACTTAGAGACAGGAGATCTTGGCCATCTACACCATCTGTTTAATCAAAGACAAATTCTCCTGCTTGACGGAACGAAAGAAAGCTGGCAAGAGAAAGTAGACTGAAGTTGTCCTTAGGTGACATGTGACCATACATGGACAAAACGAGTTAGGTTACTTCATCCGGAAAGACCACCGAGGACCACCAGAGACCCCTGAAAAGGAGGAAGACATGCACAGAGGGGTCTGAAAAGGAGCCAAGAAGAATGATGCCATGCACTTGCACATCTTATGTAGAACAGAATGAATATGTATTAGACAGGTAGAATATGCATGAATTTAATGTATAAATGTAACAAAGAAGCCGGCATTGGGTGTGCTTGATTTGTGGAAAGTCCATTGAGCACCCAGGCCTGAATAAAACAATATCTCTCCTGAGTGTGTGAGGGTTACACACTGGGTAAAATAATCTGCTTTTCGGACAACAACCTCCAAATAAATAGCTATCGAAAATCTAGACTGCTATTGTCAGTACCTCTAGCCAACAGCAGAAATTGTGAAAGGAATTCTGCCTGATAAAAGTGAAAAATCTGTTGTTTGGAAATGCTAGGTGTACAGCTGCCTGGGCAAGTTACTGTTTTTCCATTCCTCCATGACCAAAAGAATAACAACTTTATTAATTGGCCTAATCACATTTTAAAATTACCATGCTGTGTTTTCTATGAACTGAATTACAAGATGCTAGGGATCAGTGCCTCAGCAGCTGAGTTGTTAGTATGAACAAGCATGCTAACCTCCTCCAGATTCCTAAGTTTTCCCACATCTGTACCGTGCTCCCAACATATGATGCATATGATGGCACCTTATACCACAGCTGAGGCCTCCAAATTTAGTTAAACAAATTGCTGAAATCATTACAGGAAAACCAATACGCAGTAACTAATCCTTTTCCTGTACATCTTTTGCAAAGTTTGAGTCTTCTAAATTGCAGCAAGTTTTCACCGATTAGCTTAGAGCCACAAAAAAAGTTACGCAGACCAGTGAAATGACTGGTAAGAAAATCCTGCTGAGCTTTCAAAGATCTGAAAGCTAGAGTCTTGTATTTCAGAGGGAAGCATCTAGTGTTTTCTGTCTCATGACACCTGCTCTGACAGCTCGCAGCATCTTGACCTCCTAGCTGCATCAGTTCCGATCAATTACTGTAGCAGGCTCATCAGCTACCAGAATGTGCTATTAACTTATCCTACGAAAATTTAATGACTTTTATTTACACAGCTGAGACATCCAGGTGTAGAGTTGTCCTATTGAGAGCGCTATTATAAGCATCACATGAAATCAAAAAGAAAAGTTAAACATTTTTTAAAATCTTTCGTCAAATAAAAAGAGTGCTCCCAGTTTTCTCCTTTAAAAAACAACTAAGTCTTCAGTAAACTGAATTAAGTGCTAGAAAATGCACAAAATTTATAGATACTGACCATGAAGCCTGGTAGTAATGGTTGGGTAAACTTTGTTCTGAAGGTGTGTAACAGCTCCTTTGAGTTTGCATTGTAAAATGTGAGCTGACCTAAAGAAGGCAGAAAACAAGCTGAAATACATGTTTAAATGCTATTGTTGTATAACTTGGTCATTTGGCATGACAAACACTAATACACAAACAGCTCTGGGCCTTATTTTCATAAGGGACTATATCAGTCTGGAAGTAATGTACTACTTTAGCCTTGTACTGCTTCAGCTTGACATAGACAGCTAAGTTTGTAGCTAAATCTTGTAAGATTGTGATTTACCTCCATCGAAGTCGCAGTATATTCCTATTCTGTCTGGAACAGGTGCATCTAGAGTCTTGGCTTTATTATTATGTTTTGCTGAAAATGTGGTTTGCAGCCAGTTGTTGATATGGATGCACCAGCTTGAATTAGTCTTTCCCAGCTGGTCAAATTTCCCCAGGTTTCTATATGTTACTCCTATGCTGTAGGATTTGCAGTCCTTCTGGGCTCTCACCTCCCAGTAATGCTGTCCTCTTTCAATAAAGGTGTCTCCTAGCGAAAAAAAATACATTTAATTGCTACAACCAGAAACACAAAAATCTGAACTATAAGGAACAAAAAAAAAAGTACAAGAAAATAGAATATGACTACAAAAATAATGAGACAGTTTTTACTTATACTCATTGAGACAAGATACATTTAACATCAATTCACATTTAATAGCAGTGAATGTCAGTCACTAAGAGCTTTGTAACAAAGAGCCTCAAGAGACGAAGATGCTATAGCACAAAATTCTGGTGTTATATAGGCAAAACTGCCTCTGTACAGTACAGCATCAAGTACATAGCCTTGAACAATCACAAATTTTTTCCATCAGATTCTTACCTAATCTGCCTTTCCACAGCATTACACCTCTAACAGAAGAAGTTCATCTTACCCAACACTGTGTATGATTCACCAGTAAAACGATCTCTGCCGCCTCTCGCCGAGGGCCTCGTGCTAATAGATGTCCTCTTCGGAGACAGTGCACCACTTCTAAGAAGAAATGAACTGTTCAAGATTTGGATGCAATTATAGAAATGCACACCCAAACAAGTTTTCCCGAATCAATTAGTGTGCAATAAGTACACATAAGCTATTGAAATAACATTAGTTCAGCCACTTAACACCTCTAACAGTAAGCATGCACAAGAACTGAGAGAAGAGATGACAGCCAGAAAAAAGCCAAGGCATTGTAACAAGTAAGTTCAGAGGCAGCCGAGAAAAGAAACAGGAGGAAAAAACGCAGATGCATGGCACATAGTTTGAACGAATGCCTGTGTAAAACAGTGTTTTGCCTCTGCTATGCAGAGCCTTAGAGAATTCAGGTTTCTGGTTTTCTGTATAAGGTTTCTAATAAATTCTAATGAATAATGAAAGGACTAAAACTGCGTTAATTTTGTTTCAAAATACACACAGTGAAGATGATCTAAAACCCCAGTGTGTCATATCTAAAACACAATTTATATTAAAAAAAGATGAAGTAGGACTTCCAGAGTTCATTGCATCACAAGTCCTCTCAAAAAAAAAAAGAAATCACACCCCAAAAGTGTATTCAAGGGTGGGGATTTTACTTGATTACATTAACCATATCAAAGACTACAGAAAAGAAAATTGTGTCACAACACGTTGTGCTGAGAAGCACACAGCACCTCCTCTATAGTCATTATAAAACTTAAAAGTCTAATCCCAATGAAGAAAAGCTTAGATTTTCTAATCATACTTTTAAAAAGCATTCTCAGGAAGCAACAGTAAAATAAATTAAGACATGCTTTGCTCTGAAGAATATTCTAATGAGTAATCAGTTTCAGAGAAGAATAATTTTAACCTAATGAGGTTTTCAAACATTGTATTTTACCTCTGTTGTGCCCTCAAAAATAACTCCTAGCCATTTAACCACTAAACAAAACGAAGGCTATTTGCAAATTACAGTGAATATTAAATCTCAGTAGCCAGGGAATCATATCTGGTTATTATTTTGAAGCCAGCTGGTAGCAAAGAATTTTAACTTCTCAGAAATAGCTATGCAGTTTACAGTTTAATTGACAAAAAAATTTTAACAGTACAAAGTAAGTCTCTGAAACACACATGAGAAGTCATTTTCAAACACTCATCCTCTGTAGTCTATCCTACAGTAGCCTTAGAAGAGTTACCACACACAAAAGGAAGTTTTCTCTCCAGCTTTTCCTTCAGCTACAGTTTGGTAAAGCTAATTGCTACTCAGCGTCCACTAATACAATGAAGTTTGGCTTGTTTCCTTTTCAAGTCATTCAACACAGATTTCAAATTTTCTGGACTTGTTCTCAAATACTATTTCATAAAGGGTTAGAAGATGTCCCTTTTGCCCAATACTTTCAATGAAATAAAGTCACATATGTATCAAAAGCTGAGTGGTATTAAGCTGTCACATGTAAGAACGCTAGAACCTTTAGTTCATCTTCATGACCAAGTCTGGTTTATCCCAGTTACAGAAGTCTACGAGAAACCACTGAGGTAAAGGTTATCTACTTTAGCATCACCATTTAGCATATAAATTTGCCAGTACTGAATATAAGACAGCTAAGCTTCTAAATTGTTGCAAGAAGTTACATGAAATAGATAAGTGTATACCACACAGGTGCACCACACAAAATGCTTCTGCATTCTGTTAACATAGAGAAAGCTGTAGTTTACTTACCAAAGAAAAAGGTAACAAGTGATAGCATGAAAAAAAAGCAAAGCCAAGAATTAAAGCATAGTTTCACCACTCTCTGCAGATTCCATCCTGCTTCAAGTACGTCAGATATCACACTCACACTCCCAACAAAAGCTGCTGAAATTTTATTAGATTCGGTATGAGTGAGTTATGCAGAAAGCAGTGTGGCCATTTAGAGAATCACCATAAGAAAACTGCAGGTGCTTTGCTAGTAGCTCCTCAAAGTTAGGAAGACATTAAAAGGTCCTCAATATCACTTATTTGTTTCTGTAAATGGCCACTGCATGTGCTTTGCCCGCTCAAAATCTAACAGCCTTTAACAGTTCAGACAACTACATTAAATATATGGCATAAAATTTTGAAAAAATAGTTGGGGTTTTTTTCCTCCCAGTGTTTAAGTCTCCCTTCCAATACAGAAAGGCAGGAAATCTTATAGCAGAAAGTCAGTTTTGATGCCCATTTTCCAAACACAGCACAGTCTTCATTAGCTAGTATAGTAACTAATGCACTTCTTCCACTATTCAGTGACCAGATATTCTAGTCTTGTGATTAGGATTGTTGCCTACGGCACTACAGGTAGTCTCAGTTTTCTTCTCCATTTCAGCAAATAAAACCTATTCCAAACAATATGGAATACTGAAGTCTCAATTTACAATATGGAATTCTCTCTTTTGGAGAAGAAAGGTCAAGGAGGGCTATCGGAAGTTATCCAGAGGCTTTCTTCTGGTCTAATACGTCACAGATTGTTAAGCATTTTATTGCCATAGTGTCTTTCCAACCCTTGAAAGCTGCATATTTGATGTTTAAAACAATCATACTGCAATTTTTTCCACTTACTATGGAGCCAGCTTCAAAGTTTCCCTCTAATGCAGGCATCGCACAAATACTCTTAACAAGGAACAAAAGCCTCCTGCAAGAAAACTCATTTGAATCTCCAGCTAGAAAAGGTCAGCCTGAGAGGCAAAGTTGAACATGTGACCTTGCCCTTCTACCAAAGCAAAGGCCAAAACTAGAAGTTCTTTACTGACAACTGCAAAGGGACATCAAGTTAAAAGACTCCCAGAGTTTGTTGAGTAAGTAGCGATCTCCAAGACAGTTTAAAGCTTAGTTTAGCAGAAATTGATATGCTTTGCGTAGTAGAACTATTGACATTGCACAGCTTCAAGAGCTTGTTTCTCCTACACAAGCTTTTTTTTACTGCTAATCTCAAGCCAAATATACATCCACCTGCTGGATGAATACAGAGAAGTAAAACCTACAAGGAATTAGGAACCTGGCATTTGTTTTGGTCCCACAACTTCTAAACCAGTGAGAAAGACCAAAAAAGCAAAAATGGGAGAAGTTCTCAAACAGGATTTTTATCAGAAAAATTATGAAAAAGATCTACACTAAAAAACACAATTGCACAAGGAATAAGAGAGTATTTTAGCTGCCTTTACGTACTAAAAAAAGAGGCTCTCATTTGAACAATTGGTTCTGCAAGTAGAATTGCCATATAGCTTTCCACACATGCCACTAGGTTAAACTTCATCCTCTTTGAAAATGTAATAACATTTCTTTTCCTCTGACATCTAGTAACAGCTATAGCACAAGTTCAGAGGCAAAAAGGTTTTTGGGTTCAAAAATAAGAACTAAGACTATTTCAAAGTTCCAAGAACAGAACTCTATTGCATTTGTAAAATAATTTAGTGTGCAATCATATGCCAGAAGGTTCAGTAAGCATCACTATATCTGTAAACACAAGGGATCTTTGCATCAACACTAGAATATATAATGTTCTTTCAACCATTGCGAATCAGGTCTCCCACACACCAGGACGCACCCTTCCAGGAAGACTATTTTCCAGTCACTGCAGAATAGATGCATAATCTCTATGAACCCAAATTAAACCTCAAAATAATTTTTAAAAGCATATGTGTACTGTTACTGATAAAGGCTATTAGATTTATTCCTCACTACATCAAGCAAAGGAAGGTAGCATAGACTCCCAGTAAAACTAGTGCTAGATCCTAGGAAGAAGAGGTATATTTTCACCTTTTATTGCCCTTCAGCAGAGGAATGTGGCCACTGTTGACAGAAATAAGTAGTCATTAAACAGCATTTCTACAACCGCAGTAAGTTATCACCATTTTTAAGATGCCACTAAAACTTATTCTACCATGCGTCTGGCAGTATCTGCCTATAGGGCAGGTATTTGTTCATAAATTATCTCAAGCAGTGCTCGCTCTTTATACTGAAAAGCGCATGCTGAAAGTCATTTAATTGTCTTTGAGGAAGAAATAGCCAGGTCTCTGTACAAGGCAAGAGCAATGAACACTGTTCACATCTCCACTTTAGCAAGGCTTTTGACCCATTCCCACACAGTATCCTCAAATCACAAAAGGTGAGATACAGGCTGGGCAGTGTGCCAGAAGTTGCATACAGAACCAGCTGAACGCCAGGCTCAGAGCTACAGATACTGTTCTCCAGACGAGAGAACCCCACACAACAGGACAGGCTGGGGGAAGACTGAGGGAAGAGAAATTCTGCAGAAAAGCAGCTGGAAGTCTTAGTGGACAACAGGCAACACGCTGTGCCCTTAGGGCAGAGGTGGCCAACCACAACCTGGGCTGTAGCAGCAAGACAGCAACCAGGAAGCCAAGGAAAGCGACTGTTCCTCCTGATCTGGCACTTGTCAGACTGAGCCTGAAGTCCTGTGTCCAGGTCTGGGCTCCTCAGGACTATATACTGACATACTAGAGCAAGTCCAGTGGAGGGCCAACAACACAATTAAGGGACTGGAGCACAGGAAGACAATTGGGTTTGCTCAGCCTCAGGAAGGCAAGAGCTAATTGCTGTCTTTAATGACGTAACAGGAAGGTACAGAGAAGACTGAGTGTCCTGGATTTGGCCAGGACAGGGTCAATTTTCACCAGAACCCAGGAAGGGGCACGGCCAGACGGGCTGACCCCACCTGGCCAAACAGAGCCGGGTATTCCATACCATGTGCCATCATGCTGCGTTCTGGTGGGGGGGAGCTGGGCAGAGGGAACTCACTCGCGGCTCGGGGAGTTCGTGGGTGGTGGTCATGGATGGCGGCTCTCTGGGTCATGGGGTTTGTGTTGTGTTTTCTCCTTTTCTGTATCGTTGTTGTTATTGTTCCCTTTGTTTGCTGTTCTGTTAAACTGCCCTTATCCCGACCCACCGGTTTCTGCCTGTTTCTTTCCATTCTCCTCCGCACCCCGGCAGGGGGAGGGGCAGCCGCATGGTGCTTTTGTTGCCGGCCACAGCCGAACCAGAACACTGAGCCAGGCTTTTCTCAGAGGTGTGCACACTGCTAGCTGAGAGGCACCTGGTACTCACTGCACCACAGGAAATCCCAGTCAGATATCACGATATCCTCCCCTCCCAAGAAGATGGCCTGGAATAGAGGGCCAGCGAGTTAACACATTCTTTGTTCAAAACTCAGCCAGCGCAGACTGATCTAGCAATGTTCTTCCAACTGTATTTATTCAGTGATTCTGAACAGCACACATCTAAGTGCCTAACACTCAAGAATCTACCAAGAATTCTGTTAAAGTTACTGAAGTGCTTCTAGATGAAAATAGTTGTTAACTACATTTAAGGCTGCCACTTTTACAAGAGTAACATTCCATTATCTGTTATCTTTCACTACCTGGTTTGTTTTATTGCTACCTTTTCCTTACCAATGAGGGTTATAAGATAACAAATTCAAAGACGTCATATAGTACCAATTTTATTTAACCTTAGCTTTTTCAAAAGGACAGAGCAGTCAGGTCTTTCCTTCTTTGTTATAGTAGAAAAGCTCACAAGTACTGACCTGCAACATTACTATACATCAAATAGCAGCCCTGAGGAGAAGGACTTGGGGGTACTGGTACATGAGAAGCTCAACATGAGCCAGCAATGTGCACTTGCAGCCCAGAAAGCCAACCGTAACCTGGGCTGCATCAAGAGAAGCATGGCCAGCAGGTCAAGGGAGGTGATTTTGCCCCCTTACTTCACTCTCAGGAGACCCCACCTGGAGTCCTGCATCCAGCTCTGGGGCCCCCAACATAAGAAGGACATGGATGTGTTGGAGGGGGTCCAGAGGAGGGCCACGACAATGATCAGAGGGCTGGAGTACCTCTCCTACAAGGAGAGGCTGAGAGAGTTGGGGCTGTTCAGCCTGGAGAAGAGAAGGCTCCGTGGGGACCTTATAGCAGCCCTATAGTACCCCGTGGGCTGTCTGTACACCCCATCTAACTCATCTTGCATTCAGAAAGAAGAGAGGCCAGGTTGGATGGGGCTTTGAGCAGCCTGGTCTAGGGGAAGATGTCCCTGCTCATGGCAGGGGGGTTGGAATTAGATGATCTTTAAGGTCCCTTCCAACCCTAACCATCCTATGATTCTGTATTACATCAGTTTCTTGCTGCCATTTACCTTATCTACTGTATTGGGTTTAGGTGGCAAGGTTTTGGTAGTGAGAGTGGTTTCAGAGGTGGCTTCTGTGAGAAGATGCCAGAAGCTGCCCCCATGTCAAATGGAGCCAGTGCCAGCTGGCTCCAAGACAGACACATTGCTGGCCAAAGCTGAACCACTCAGTGATGGTGGTAGTGCCTCTGTGATGACATATTTAAGAAAGGGTGAAAACTGCTGCACAAGAGCAGCTGGGAGAGAGAAGTGAGAATACAGCCACCCTGCAGCCCATGGAGGACCCCACACTGGAGCAGGTGGATGTGCCCTGAAGCAAGGTGCAGACCATGGAGAGCCCACACTGGAGCAGGCTCCTGACAGGACCTGTGAACACGTGCAAAGAGAAAAGCCCCCAGCGGAGCAGGTTGGCTGGGAGGACCTGTGGTGTCCCATTGTCCTCAAGTGCTTTAATTACTCCCTGCTCTCTCCCCTTAATTGCTAGAGGAGAGGTCCAAGACAACACAAACATTTACAAAACAGAGTTCTTACCTGCTTTTATTTTCCTTCCCTTTTCTTTTTTCTTGGCCTTTGCCTCCAGTAGGATCCCATTCAACATAGGTATCTTCAACTTTTAAGTTCAGATGAGATGAAGTACTGTCCAAACTGAACACAAACGCTGGTCAAGACAAAACACAAAACAGTGAAATGGTATAACTCTCTCCCAAGAGTGGCTGTTCATAAAAACATAACTAATACAACATGCCAAGTTCCCTAAAGATGTTTATTTACAGACTATTCTGTAAGTGTTCTAACACCACCAGATACTATAGTCTGATTCCGAAATAAAGTATACTTAAGATTTTAAGAGTTTAGAGCTCAGCAGTACACAAGTCTGAAAAACAATAAGGTGAGTGCATAGATGAGGATGTTGAGTTTCTATGGGCTGATCATTAAATAACGTGAACTAAGCGTTCACACACAAATAATGAAAATAACATGGGAAGCACGGTTAACTGCCCAAACAATCAAAATCAAGAGGGTTTTTTGTGATACTGGACTAACGAATGCAAGTAGCTATTAAACGAATACTATATATCTGACAATGACTGTTGTTGCTTAGGAGTATTAAAATCACCCTAGAAAAGTTACCAGAATACCCATCAGCTCATTCAAATTGCATATAGCTTTGTTTTTATGAAGTAATAGAATTTATATTTTAATTTTCCAGTTGAAACCAGTCATTTTGCCCTTTACACTACAGACTTGGCTAAATTAAAGCCTCAGGATCATGATCTTCATCATAATAGAGAACACAAAATATCACTCCCAAGAAACTTTTCTTCTTGTTTATTTACAAAACAATATTAGGAAGCCACCATCCCCAAACCAACTGATTTCTAACAGAATGACTTAATAACTTGGCAATTTGGAGATGCCTGTTTTTTGAACATTGACTGTGAGTGGAATCTACAGCTACAAAGCCAAAAAAATCCTTTCCAGCACTTTCTTTTTACAGAAAGCTATTATTTGTCACTTGATACGCACTAGTGACAAGCCAACTACACTAACTGTTTAGATGCCCTAAGAGTCCTACTGATGCTTAGCCACAATATTATTCTTCTCTCCCTGTATGCTGGCATCATGTAGCAGCACATAATACTGCCAGTCCACAGTTCAAAACAACTAATGTCAAGCTCTGTTGGAGAAACTTACATCACTACCCCATTTTTAGTGTCTGAATGCTGAAAGGCCAGCTTTGTGCCAATAAGCTTCTTAATCCTTTACAGAAATGGTCACTTCCCTTTTCAGTTCGGACACATTTCAGCAGCGCTCATGCAGAAGCAGATTTAATATACAAGTTCATATATGAAGGCAGAACAGTAAGTGCAGGTCTTCACTACATCTAAGATTAGAGTCTTTAAAATTTTACCTTTGGTTTCCAGAGTCACAGGATCAGAGTATTCCCCTGCCACAGCTTTGTTGCAAGCTTGTACTCTAAGGTTCATGTATTTTGTATCAAATTTCAGACCTAAAAAGTAAGTGTTTAGAAACCTGAATTCGTATTACTGACAATATTTACAAGAATAACATCTATTCTGTGTAGCTATATTCCACTTATCTCAATCTGAAAAAAAAGCTTAAATACCAGTGTGAACTTCATTTAACACATCATTTTTTAGAAAAGTCAAAATTGAAGGCAGATCCATTATTGTACAAAGCACCCAAAACTAATGTGAAACAATGGAAGCTTCACTACATATAGGAAAATTAGTATTTTACAAAACTTCCAAGCATATTGCAAGAGTTATATCAATATACCTGGTTTCCAGTATAAAAACTCTTTACCTGATAATGTATATTCAGTAGCTTTAATATAGTCTATCAGTTCCCAGTGCTGTTCATCTTTTACTCGAGGAAGCCCATCAAAGTTGGTTTTCCTATACTCCAGTACAAAATGATCAATCCTGCTGTCTTCTTCAGGCATTCTCCACGACACTGTTACACAGTTATCAGCAACGAGACACGCTGCTAGATCTATCTCTGGAGCTTTAGGGACTGCAAAAAGACAAATACACAGATCAGTTTAAAAAGAGAATGGACTGAATATTAATTGTTCTCCTTGGATATATGGAGTTCAGAAGTTGCCCTTGGCCCAGTAACACCCATTCCTTTTAAAGGATCTATTCCATTAGCAAAGCACAATAGAAGACTAGGCATATCACTTTCACTTCAGATGCATTTCACCAAACGAGCAATGCACATTAGCTCTAGAGCAAACATTTGCATCACATTTTGCCAGAAGTTTGTTTTGTTTTGTTAGGAAGTTGGGCTGATCCCCTTCTGGAAGCACTAAGAAGGACATGCTAGAGTAGAGTGGACTTGCAATTGTGAACCTGAGTTTAGAGCAACACTATGCAGGAAGAACATTAAGAAGCAAACTTTTATTTCTGAGTCTTTGGAAGGTAAGTACAGCTGCGACTCTCAAAAAGTATCACTTAAGTTTACTTCCACCACTACAGACAACTAACAGTGTAATAGTTTCCACCAGCCAGTCAGCAGTTCCCCAGTTTTCTTTCCTTTTCATCATTTGTCTTGAAAGAAGGTGAAAGAATTCCTGAGATTCACTAAAGACTGAAGTTCTGTTTATAGACAATAGAAGTCTATTTCCATGAAATCCAAGAGCACTTCAGTCACTAGAACATGTTTTTCAAAAGAGGGCATTTACATACTACCCTTTGTGTTGTCCAAAGTATATTCAAGGAAGACTTCCGCTGAAGTAAGTGAAAAAGATATTCTACTGTTTGCAGTTTTTGGAGAAACATCTGCAAAAGCTTTTCATTTGTTTCAGCCTTCACAAAAGCTTGAAACAGAATCATAGATATAAAAGAAAAGAGATACAAGAGTGGCCTGAAAGTCAATTTGTCAAGCAGGAACATCAAAAAAGTACAATACTGATGTATCTGTGGAACTGACAGACCTGCAGATTTTTTTGTCAAAAACCATCCCTTTTCACAACACTCAAACCCTTAACTGCATTGTTCTGTACAGTTATCCCCCAGTGACCAAGTCCTAATTACACACAGGTTGCCTTTATGCAGTTGAAACTACTATTTCTTGAACAGATGGTTAGCCATGATTCCCCTCCACGATGAGCAGTGACAATCAGCATCACATTAATTATGGTTGAGTCATATAGAGATGGGTAATTTTACCATCCAAATACAAACACCTCCCAGCTATAGCCACTCCACTAGAAGCAGAAGGCCTAGTTTGCTTTATGCACACTACTTCACATCTTCCTCTCATGGTCTCTTCAAATGTTTTACCCTAACACTACCGAAACACACCCTTTCACTCCTCACATCCCCACAGTTCAAGCCAGGCAGGAATGACACTGAAACTCGTGGTATGGGTTTAAAAAGCTTGAGAACAAGTAACAGCACAGAAGAGACTGGAAGCAACAGCATTCAAGTTCGTACTGGTTTTAGCTGGGATAGTTATATTTCTTCATAGAGGCTTGTATGGTGCTGCACTTTGGATTTGTTATGAGAACAGTTTGATACACAGGGGTTTTAGCTATTGCTGAGCAGTATCAAGCCCTTTTCTGCTTCTCACACCGCCCCGCCAGTGAGCACACTAGGGGTGCACAGGGAGCGGGGAGGGGACACAGCCAGGACAGCTGACCCCAACTGACCAAAGGGATGTCCCATACCATATGATGTCATGCTCAGCAATAAAAAAGGGGAAGAAGCAGCAAGCAACCTTTGGAGTTACGGCATTTTGTGTTCACAAGTAACTGTTATGCATGATGGAGCCCTGCTTTCCTGGAGATGGATAAACATCTGCCTGCCAATGGAAAGTAGAAAATGAATTCACTTCTGCACACAGCTTTTGCTTTACTTATTGAACTGTCTTAATCTCAACCCACAAATTTTCTCACTTTTACCCTTCTGATTCTCTTCCCCATCTCAGCACAGCAGGGTGGATTAAGCAAGCAACTGTGTTGTGCTTAGCTACCTGCAGGGATTAAACCACAGCCAATTCTTACGTTTTAATCACATGCATTTGCCATCAAATTTCAAAGTCATCCAAGAAGAAATTGAGAATACTATCAGCAAGATCCCTTCTCAGGAAAAAGAAAAAATAAGATGAGGACAAGCATTTTAGAACATATACCTCTAAGTTTAGCTACCTACCCCAACTATTTTTGCCACAAGATACCAGATAAAGAGTCTTCAATGTGTTTGGTGTGATCATGTCTTCAGCATAATTCTGGCAAGCAGTGTTCAAATGCCTACATTGCCACAACACCAAACCTACTGTCAACTTCCAACACTAGGGCATTAGTATTTCCTGATGTGTGAAGGTCTAGCAATGCTCAGTGCAGTTCTGCCTAGAACAGTTTGAGCTGTCAGTGTTTGGTTTCAGAGTAATTTGATGGCTTGGCACTACAGTAAAAGAAAGCAAGATTGATGCCCAGACAGTTAATTTTCCTGTTTACAAATCAAAGGCCAAAACAATTGAAATTCTTACATCTTTGAAAAGGAAAATCCTTGTATAAGAAGGGTCATACTAAATAATATCTTCATCTAGATACAAGACTTTATTCATGCTTGCTGTTAAATCTTACACTCCCATTCCTGTCAAACCGGTGCACTGTAATCAGCTTACCTACCTTCTTCCCTTATCTATGAAATACAGAGCAATGATTGCCCCACAGAGTCTAGGACTAATAGGTGATTTTCTGCCTAGACACTGCTAGCTGACCACTAGCAATTAGGTTACTAATTTACTACACTGCTACCACATACTGTATCTGCAGCATACAAGACAAACGGGCAGAAATGTAAACTGACACTGTGAAATGCTTAACAGATTTGGATTAGTGACCTAGAGATGAAACAATTTACATCCCTGCCAGCAGTATTCTTGTCGCTATATTCTTGGTATCGGTCAAGGGCAAAGTAGTTTAAATAGGAAACTCATATGAATAAAGACGCATGAAAGATATATAGTGGAATACTGCACCTAAGTTTACCTTCAAACAGTAACAAACAGACACATCCATACACATTTTGTATTATGGTAATATCACTGCCTTAGTAGATTATCCCTCTATTGCATTTCAGACCATATCACCACTCTTCTAAGCGACACATTAGCTTACAGTTCCAGGCATAACACTACTGCAGATGACCAGGACTTCAGAGTGTCACTAAGCATCAAGCCAGGAGGTACAGTCTTGAGAAACTGAAGATAACTTCAGGAAGTTCAGAGGAACTGACAACTCAAGAACAAACAGGGTCTAAAGACTCATTCTCACTTCTGAGATCAATGTTATTTTCTGAAATGCTGTATTATGTAGAAATTAAACACAATAAAACTATAACACTCTTCTACCCTCAAGTATTCAGCTTAACATCCAATGAACAAGTTCTGAAAAACTTGCTCATTAGGGTGCAAGAGGTGTGATTTTGGTTTGTTTGTTTTAAACACAGTAAGTCATTCACACAGTAATAGATTAAACTCACTGCATCAGTTTTTACCTGGCAAAAACTTTACAGCCTGGAGCATGCGTCTTTCCAGAGCGAAGTCCACCATCAAATGAGTCATACACTCACTGACCTTTGGTTTCAAAGAGATGCGGAACGCTGAAGCCACTGTGACTCTAAAGTCAAGAAAGCAGCATTAGCAAATTGTATTTTGCATTGTTTAAATCCTATTGCCATTTTCAAAAACAGCAATCAGATAAGCTGTATAGTTAATGTCAAACTGTTAGCCAAAATCCTGATCAAAGCCTAGAACATTCTTCTAATACAGAACTGTTTAGCATTTAGCACAGACTCCAAAACAGAAAGTTTTGCTAATGTGACTGTCTCAAAGAGAACATGCTGTGAGGTCCCAGATGTTCCATATTCTTAGGCAAAGAAATGCTAGAAGTGATTAGAGAAGAGCTTAAAATTTCTTTTATTAGTGAAAAAACTTGGGTAAGAGATAAAACAAAACTCCTATCACTTTGCACAAAATCAGGAAGTATGAAACATCTAATGCACCGCAGAATCAGGATCATGTTTTATGTACTTAGAAATCTGAAACTTCAACCTTAAGTCTTTGGACCTTTTTAAACTAATCTGCTGGACAAGATCCACTCATTACCTCTGAAGTGTATTTACATGTGTTACATATTGATCAAAAGGCATCTACATATAGCAGTGAACAAGCTGAATATTCTGATTTCATATCTACCTCTGATCTTATCAGGCAATGAAAAAACATTTAAGTTGCAGACACCATATTGCTTTAGAACATGCAAGTACTAGATGAGTCGTACAAGCTACACTGAAGCACAGCTCTCACTTCCACTTCTGAAATCTTAGCTCAGTCCCTATTCTGAATACTACTAAGACACTTCTGTACTCCATCAACTACACCAACAAAAAAAAAAAAAACAAAAAACAAGTCTCTCGCATAGTTTTGTAACTCTAACAACATCAGGCCACACAGCAGTTTGAATAACATTGATTCAGACAGCATATAGGTCTTAACTCCTGCTTTAAAAAAAAAAAAAGAGATTCTTAACTGGAAAGTAATATACACATCATGAGAAAGTCAACTGCAAACACTTCTATCCAATTTACACCCAAATATCAGTCACACCTTTAGAACACCTAATGCACATTACTTTCTGTAAGCTATTAAGTAATTCTCACTAGCATGCAAGAGATTGTGTGCTAACTACAGGTACATTAAGTAACAGTGAAAACCAAAAAATTCAGGTAGTAAAGAAGGGGGAGGAAATATGAAGTTGAGCATTAAAGATAGAAGCACGTAGAGAGTGACAAGCATTACCATTTTGGTATATAAGATAATTATGACACTGAACTGAACATCATAAAAGAGACAGGTCAGTTGATTTCCCAAAACAGAGCTGACATTCTGAAATTCAGTATGCGTTGCCTAGCAGATTCCAGTGCTCAACCAGACAGGTAAAGTAAATCTCTCCATCAGGAAGAATAATCCTCTGATTACCAGTAAGAGAGACATCTTTTTAACTTCTGCTTAAGCACTGATCTTAGAGAACCAGCCACAAAAGGATTAGATCACACAGCATTTCAAGAAACTAGAGAAGTAAGAGGATGCTTGTTACAGATAAAAAGTATTAAGATTCCTATCACTGTTGCTATCCCTCTGATTTGATAAGAACACTAAATCTTTACCCTTAGAAAAGCAGAGATTAGTTTCTCTAGCAGTTCTTCATTTTACACAAAACTTCAGAGACCTTTAGACAATGAAACCCTTCCTTGAAAACCTGTAAATTGAAAACCAACCTATTTGGCCATAAGAGCAACATATGCTGGAAACACTGTGAGCTGTCTTTCAAAATACTACGCACATCACAGTAAGTTTTCTGAGCCAGAAGGTCAGACTCTCACAAGGTAGTTACAGTTCTTCCAAGTGAAGAAAAATGGTCTTAGTATTTATTTTGAAATGGTGAAGTTCTCCTTTCTAAACAATAGTTTAAAGACACAGTTCAGAGAAAAGCTACCAGAAATAGCAATTTCACCAGCGTTAGTCAGAGTGATGTCACCAGAAATATTTCAACACCTATAAGACTTTTTACATTAAAAACAAAAGTTAGCTAGCAAAAGTCTGTAAGTACTTGAAAAACAATCAACAACAAGATTTTCTCATATTTAAAGGGACAGAGTCAGCTTGAAGCATTACCAAAATTCAGCCATTAGGTATTAATAACAAATCAAAGTTTATTATTAACATTAATGATATACCTAAAGAAATAATAATAGCTGCTGCAGAGCTCTACTTCCCTGCATTAAAAACATCCTTCTCTTCATTAGGTATGAAAGACGAACAGTCAGCAAGGAAAAACAATACATGAGCAGCACAGAGGTTTTTAGTTCTCTCTCAAAAGTCGTGATGTCATAACAAACACTTAGGAAAGAGTCAATGAATTTGATTTGATTTAAGCTGACTATGACACTTCCAAAATAAATCCATTTTCAAGGATAAGATTAATTCAAAGACACAAAAGCAACAGACTTCATACTGTACCTATCTTTGATCTGTCTGGCAGCCTTGATGCATGTCAGGAAGAAGAGAGAGAAAGTAGTTAGTATTTCCACGCAAGCACCAATGGCAGTAACATGCAAGAAGGTCGAGAACAATCTCAGCGGCATTGCTCAGATTTGAAGATCAAAATGAGTCTAAGACTTCCATCAAAATAAATTTTCCCATAAAGCATGTTAATAGTATTGGTTAGAACTGCAACAGTGTATCACCTGGGAAAAAAACTGATCTCAAGAATCACACCAAACCAATTCCAATTCATTCCACTTCCTGGGTGTGAGATCATCTCTTCAGATTTCTCTAATCAATTAAGTTGATCTCCATCACATTTTAAAAGAGCTACAAGACGAAGTCAGTAAAATTTAACTACCATCATACTTTCTCTGTTTTCTACCTGTAAGAACTCCACAGGGTCCTTTATGTCCAGGGACTGCGCAGCAAGTTCCAGCAGCTCTTCAGAACTCTCTAGGGCATTACTACACTGGCTAAGTTGATCCTGCAGCAAAGTAGCAAAAACAGCAAGTAAGAATAATTTGACGTATTGACATGAAAAAAAACAGTTTATGAACGACCAGTACTGGAACTACATGGCTTTGCTTTTGTGTTTGTAACAACTTAGTACCTTATCTAATCAAGACTATTACCTCTGACACACCATGTTAACTACAACTTCACTGTGCTTGACAAGTGCACTGTGATATAGGTCTCATTTAAAAGCCAGTTTTCATTCTCAGGCCTGTTTCTCCCAACATCAGCATTTCAGAAGCAAAGAAATGCTTACACCTGTGTGTACTACAACTTCTATTTACAGAACTGCACTTCATCAACATTAAACAGCATCAGTTTGCAACAATAGCCTTGAAAAAGGCAATGATTTTATCCCCAACCAGTTCTAGAATTGTTACAAGATAATCCTGAAAATCAATATTGCTGTATAACAAATGGTGATAGCAGCAGAAGGGGAACAGAGGAAGAAGAGAAATTTCTTTCAGGATTATCTAAAACTATCATTAGCAAACTACCATTCCTAGAATATAAAACAGTCCACAGGGAACTTCCAGTGTTACATAGTATGGGTATATCCTAAAAATGTTAGCTCTGAACACACTGTAGGATCCTAAACATACAGTAGGTCAAACAAGATGCACATCTGAAAACCTGTCAGAAGTTTTTGCATTGCCTTTCAACCTACAGCTGTTTCTCCACTCATGTGATACTTGCTGTCATACCTCTGAACAAGTCAACAGCAAGTAATTACTTTCTTTAGAACACTTCAGGAAAGACAGCTTGCTCTAAAGTTGTCACCGTCTCAAAAGTAACCAACAGTTGCATCAACTTTAAGAATGGACCAGTCTCAAGCACTTCAAAGTGTAACTAGTTTTGGCAAGTGTGGTTGGTTGTCCTGACCCAGCTGCCAGATGCCCCTCAGATTTACCGTTCAGGGATAAAATAGTAGCAAGGAAACAGTCCAACAGCTAGAAGTTTGTACACAGTTGCCAGATAACTTCTGAAGCATGCCATTAACGCAAGCTGTCATTCATCTAATACAGCTGCTTCCTGTGTCCTCTTCAGAGGATATCAGCTGGGAAGACCATACAGCTAGGCAGGCGCAATCCAGGAGGTTCCTACAGAGCATTGACGATAACTTTCTGATGCAAGTGGTGGAGGAACCAACAAGGAAAGTTGCTCTGCTGGACCTTCTATTAACAAAGAAGGAGGGACAGGTGGAGGATGTGAAGGTTGGAGGTAGACTCGGCTGCAGTGACCATGAAATGGTTGAGTTCAGGATCCTGCGTGGAGGAAGCAGGGCGATAAGCAGGATCAAAACCTTGGACCTCAGGAGGGCTGACTTTGCCCTCTTCAAGGAGCTACTGGGAGGAATCCCGTGGGCCAGGGCTCTCGAAGGCAGGGGGGTCCAAGAGTGCTGGTCGCTCTTTAAATGTCACTTCCTCCATGCTCAGGAGCGGTGCATCCCCCTGAGAAAGAAATC